GCTGTCTATAATTTTGGCTTGCAGACGACTGTCACCACATTCTGACTTCCATTTAGGGAACAATGAACACTGAGCAAACTAATTTATTTAAATGTGTGACAAAAAGGGTGCATCAGTGATTCAGTGGTAAAATGCTCGCTAACTAAGCACCTAGTTTGGGGTTCGATTCCCGGTCGATGTACTAATAAAAATTGACTAGTTTACCAGTTCAGAGTAAGTCCGCAAAAGACTGAAGATTGGGTGTACGGCTAACAAATCCACCCCATAAGAAGCAGCACAATGGTTACTGAGTCTTCAAAACTTGAAGCCTTAAGTCCTATATTCAAGTCGGAAGGCAGTGGACTGAGAAAAAAACAGGTTTTCATGTATTCTAAATGTTCCTACAGTATCTCTTTTACAATCATTCATTTTATTTCTTTATGTTGGTCCATGCTAGTGAGAATGTTGTCGTCTTATAACCAGCTTAAAAAAATTCGTTTTCTCTCCTTCAGTCCTAAGTAGAATATAGGACTTCAAACTTTGAAGTTTTACTAGCAGTGATGTTTTGTTTTCTTTCGAGAAATATGGTTGCTAGCCTCATGGCCAAACGTCTCTTTCCCAGGTTTACTACTTGGTTAGGCGAGGTTTAGGAGTGTGTCGGCCGGGAATTGAACCCTGACATACTGAGTTCCATTGCTTATAATTTGAGGCAGTAGTACTTATACTTTGGATTTTCATAGTTTTCTCAGTCACACAAAAACAGTACAAATGGTAGAGAAGGAAGTGCATCGTCTCAGCAGCGATGTCAACTGGCCAATCAGCTACATCTATCATATGACTTCTAGCAATAATGCCCATAAGTCATAAGACGTGTATAGAATAGGATTTGAGGGTATGACCCATTTGCTTGACAACAGTGTATCTATACATAACTTATACATCTATTAATTATAAATCATATCTAATAAATGAATGACGAATCAACGTAGAACGTTACTCAGACACGTGTGTCAGTCCACTTAATCATACTTAAACTTTAACCATAGTACAATGGAGCGACTACTTATAATTTGCTATTTTGCTATTATTTACTGTATAACACTGTGAGACTCTATCAAAATAAAAATTTACCCATAATGGAATTACACTCTACCACAGTGCCCAAGTTTTATTCTTATAACATGTATATTTCTCATAGATATGTGAAGAAACCAAGTCACCTGATTGGTTGTGGATATAAGCACCTACATATATATATATATATATATATATATATATATATATATATTGGTTTTTACCTTCCCGAGGACCTCAACCAGGAAGTCTACACCTTCCTACGTGTCTTAGACTAACTGTTGTAGATTTCATTGACTGGTGCCATGTTTTCGTTTGACCACCGCTAGCCCTTTAACCAGCCTGGCCCTATATCAGCTAACATGGCCCGTCGAGAAAGGCGATGACTAGGCATACGTAGCACATGTCCAAACCATCTCAGTCGATGTAAATTCACAGTCTCGTCGACTGACTTCCCCTCCTTACCTAGCAGTCGATGCCTAACCTCAATACTGCTCACCTTATCATACCACTTCACGCGGGAGATAGGACGCAGACACCTATGATCAAAGACAGCTAATCTTTTCAAGCCTTCTGCGCTCAATGGCCAGGTCTCACAGCCATAAAGGAGGACGGAGCGGACTGTTGAGCAGTACACACGCCCCTTGGTCGATAGTCGGATATCGCGTCTACGCCAGAGACGGCGTAAACTGGCATATGCGAAACTAGCCCTCTGTATTCGTGCTGAGAATAAAACATTATCAGGGTGAGGCGCGTGCAAATAACACACAGCCTTCTTCAAACCTTGCACACAACCATTAGGTCGCGTACTATCCGCGACCTAACGGCTTTTGTCAGTCGATCAGTAAATGATGTCTAATTTTCTGGACGACTGGTGATGATATCCTGATAAACTGGTGCCTTTTTGTGTCAAGTCACATTATATTTTGACTTATCATAGAATACTGACAATAACTGCCTGGAGTTGACACGGGATGATGACCGATTGCGTCACTAGTCTTGTTTACAATGTAGATGTAATCAGTACAATGCCACCATAGCCGTCCACAGTCTCGTACACTGTTTAGTTGAACAACCAGTTTCAGTCTTTGATTACAGTACGACGTATGATTGTCGAAGATGCAGACAACTGGTTCTCCATATTTTCTGATAGACTGTTATTCAAAACGTCTAAATTCTTCATAAACAGAATATTTTTGACCTTCCAGTTTATAAAACCTCACCTCGTTTACGAGCTCGCTAGCTTTCTAGCCGGTCCCAAACTCGCGTGAAGAGTAAAGGTCGGACGTGGGGGGTAGCGATCCTACACCACCAAAACAATCAATCTGCTACACAAACTTCAGTGCACAGGAAAAATACAGAAAATATAACAAATCAGACTTAATTCTCTCTGGAATTAGAGAGGCGAAATGACATAGCAGGCTGGTGAAAGCCTTCGGGAAGCCAGTCAGTTGATGTGTCGTCTTCCAATAATGTCAAGAACAACAATGTGAGTGTGGAGTGTTCGTACAATGTACAAAGCTGGAAAGGCTGCCGAGTTAGCCAAAGAAATGAGGAGATAAGGTATAGAAGTGCTGGGAATTTGCGAGAGCAGATGAAATGGATGTGGATTGTCAAAATTGTCAACTGGAGAGTCAAAAATCTACTCCGATCTGTCATCCAGACGACGACTACGAGCACACTGAGTCAGTCAATAGCTATCATGATGTAACCAGTGGCAGCCAAAGCCCTAATACAGTAAGAACCAATCTCCTCCAGCAAGATCATGACAACAAGATTCAAATCAAAAGGAAGGTCACAATTATCCAATGCTACGGACAGTGCTACAAACAATGCGGAACGAGACAAGAAGGAAGAGTTTTACAGACAACTACAAACAGTAATGGACAACATTCCGAAAGCTGGCACAAAAATCCTCACAGGCGATATGAATGCTAGCCGAAATGGGAGCAAATTATATAGGAAGAGAACTCATCATCGATCGAGAGGCTCTGGGAGAAATGAATGAGAACGGAGAATTATCCGCAGAATTCTGCGCTTTCAATGATCTGGTGATCGGAGGCAGTGTGTACAAACACAAGGATATACTCACAGCAACATGGATTTCGCCTGAAGGAAATACCACAAACCAGATAGATTTCATCTCAACACTGTTCAAGGATGTGAAGACGCAGTCTTCTGGATACAAAGTCGACAAGGAGAGCAGATGTGGGCTCACACCGTCAGCTAGTTTTAGGAACCTTCAAGGTGAAGATGAAATCCCTCAAAACAAATGGAGACAGGCCACAACTCAAGTTTGGCATTCAGAAACTGAACCACAAAACCACAAATCAGAGCAAAGTCGGAGACATATGATTATGAGCAATAATTTGTGCTCGATAAGTCATCAGTTAATATAACTGTACAACACTGTGTGATTTATGAAAATAAAATCTTATCTATAATGGAGTTATACTCTACTACTGTGCCCAAGTTTTATACTTACATCAAGAACAAATAGCACCAGTCATCATCAATGGGAGAAATTTGAAAGAGGTTACTTCCTTCAATTATCTCGGCAGCATTGTTTCAGTTACAGGTAGCAAGCACGCGTGAGGATGTGAATGCCAGCCAGAATTGGAAAGCCAAGACAAACCTTCATCACTCTGAAATCAGTTTGGACATCCTCCGCACTCAGCCAGCATAAAGAGCAAGATTCGGATTTTCAACACCAATCTTAAGCCAGTCACTTCTTCTATATAGGTCAGAAACGTGGCCAGCGGATCACGAAAGCCAACTGCAGACATTTATCAACAACAGCTGCCTTCGCTGAATCCATATTAAAGATCAAATAGCCAGCGAGAAAGAATCAGCAACGAGAAATTATGGGGACAAACCAATCAAAAAAATCGATTGCTCAACGAATATGTGGGAGAAAATGAAGATGGACTGGACACACACTGAGGAGACCGTCGAATGACATCGCATGCCAAGTCATGGCTGCAGTGGAATCAGAATGGGGGAAACGACGATTCGGAGTGTGGTCAATGGTGACATGGAGGAGATTGGTGTTATGAGGAGGAGATGAGAGATTATGGACGATTCGTGGACCTGCCTAAAGAGGATAGCAGAGAATAGGACAAAGTGGAGATGCGCTGTTGAAGCCCTGTATTCCACTCGGAACCAAAGGGAATAAAAAGAATAATAGTAAAATTCTTAAGCATGACACTGACGACACTTTGGCCGCAACCATTACGTACTGGTTCAAATAATTAACAGACACTTCTCTACTCTCATACAGGCTAATCTGGAATGAATTTTCAACGCACAAACATGCAATAAAGTGTAACACTTCAAAGTTGCCACCTTACACACACACACACACAAATAGAGCAAACACATACAGGTACAGAAAGAAAAAATGTTACCAACAGTTTCAAGCCACTGGTGGTTACTAGCATCTCTGCACCTTCCTACATGGATTAAACGCATAGCCTAAAACTGCATGCATTGTTGCCATGTTTCGATTCGCTTTCCAACACAACCCGACGTCAACTAACATCAATCGACGAGGAGGAGCAATGGCTTGGTGTGCATGCGTAACATGTGCCCCTGCCATTTCAATCGATGCAGCTTCACAAACTGATTGATTAACTCTCCTACTCACATAACTTAAATATCTCCCACTATATTATACCGCTTAACACCCATCCTGCAAGTGTAACTCAACGTGAAAAAGGCTCTCTCTTCTAATCTAAAACGAAGATAAGCACATGGAGTCCAGAACATGACTGCGTTTACACAGTTGTCAATTTTAAACTATGATTTATACGTTTTGTTAGCCTCACAATCAACAATCCGCAAGTCTACACACACTTATGCCCCACTAATACAGATAAGTGCATACGTGTATCACGTTTCGCGTTAAAAGAGGGGATTAGGTCAAAAAAAATGTGTAATGTTTTGTGATCATAACGTTATACTTTTATTTTACAATATGGCATAGGATAAGATGAATCTCAGAAAACCATAACTACATATCCGGTATTACCAATAATCGAAACTGGTAAATACCCAAAAATTGGTTTCAAATTTATGACCAGCCAAACATGTAGCCGAGTGCTTTGGATATTAATCCAGAATCCCTGTCCCGTCGAACCTACAGTAATGAAAAAAAAACAAATTAAGGAATAAAGGGGTTTGTAAACAATTATATCAGTTAAGTATAATCTGAACGAGGTAAAATGTTAACTCAAGTAGTCACCGACAATTTCGGTCTGTATACAATCGCTGAGTTTCATTCTAAAAGGAATTGCTGATATGCAGTGCTTAGAATGCTTATTTCTTCCTAAGCTTCACTTGTTCATGTGTGTGCTGATGATGAGTCCCAAACGAAAATGAAACAGCTGTCCAGTACACCCACGTTCTCCAGTGGTTCTCTAACCGATGTCAGCTCATGATGAAATCCTGTAACCAGTCAAATCCCCGCAAACCAACACCTTGATAGTTAATCTAATTCTAACTAGCAACTGCCTGTATACAGAAAGTTACGTGGAGTTCTAGTGAGAAGTCGCAACCAGCGGAGTCCACCAAGTCAGGGAGGAGAACAGTTACTCGACCATGACATTGACTGGCGGTTGCGTTATAAACATCGTCAATTAGCAGAAGATGGAATTCATGGATTGACCATCGGATCAGGCAGGTGTCCCAGTGGCTTTATGGCCTACAACCTCACCTTGTAACCAGAAGGTCCTAGGTTCGAAACCCCATGGGTGAGTACTGTTGAAGAGTCCAGAACTAGGATGAGATACCAGTCCAGTACTCCCAGGTTCTTTAATGGTCCTCTAACTGATATCAATCCGTGACCAAAATTGATCACAAAGTTTATTATATTACTCTGCTCACGATTACTCCTACTAATACTACTAAAAATTTCTCATAGAAACATGCCTAGATACGCACTTCACTTACATCCTCATACCTCGTTGACTGGTAGATACTATGCACTTTCACTCAATTCCATAACAGGCTATAGAAGAAACTGCTATTTTTGGCACATTCAATAACTGCAACAATTATTCAGGCTTAGTGTAAGAGTAGAGTTTGGGTATCGTGGTAGAAAATAATCCAATATATCGGATGATTCGATCAGCAAAGATTCGGTGATTAAACTCTCCCTCCACTTAACTATGTTATTATATTGTGCCATGTACTACTAGCAAAATTTATCAATAGTATATAGGTGCAGATTGATAGGAAGTAACCTAAATTGAAAAACAACATTTTGAAACAATAGCTACAGAAATAGAAGTGTTTATTTCTCAAATTTGCAACTCGCCTACGTTGTGGTCAGAAAACAACCTCAAGATTTAACTCCCAAAAAATCAACAACTAATCAGAACAACCTACTGTCAGTAGACAACTTCACGTCCCAAAAGTTTGACCTTCAGAAAACTAACAACCAATCAGAATAGTTTATTATCCGTTGATCTAGTCGACCATAAATATAGCTAAAAACGTATAAATACGGTGAGTCTCACTAACAAAAAGGTCCCTTACCAAGTCTTATCCGGTTACAGATTCATAGTCGCGGACACTGACGAAAGCTATGGCCTTTTTGACCTTCCCTCATTAAAATCACTGTGTGCATTTATACTAAACGAAATCCTTAAACTTTGGAGGGAAATAAAAATAATAACTAAGCAGATTGTGGGGAGTGGAAAGCGAAAAGGACATGAAATGAGAGTTGGTCAACTTACACTTGCTGTTCTTGATAGACTTGTTGGTCGATTAGATGCAGCCAACGATCGCATTGAATTATGTCTGCCAATGCTACTACCTACTGGTTTGTCTGTAAGCATATTATTGCCAGAATCCATTCCAGCATTTAATGATGGCGGCTTGAATCCACCCATATCTCCACTCGGAGTTCTATTCATTGTTCCAGTTGTTTTATTGTTAGCATCATCGATACCACGGCGAATATTGTTCATACTGTTGTTATTCGATGGACTAAGGAATACAGAATCATTTATATTACTAGTGTTTGTCTGTCTACAAAACACACCAGACTTTTCTCCATCTATTACTTGCTGTCGATGAACAAAAAGAAAGCAATAAATAATTAGAATTGCCAATCATCCCATTAGTGTAAAGCAACATGAGATGGTGGTAAATGGCTTGCAGTAGGAACTAAAATGCACCTTTCGTCTGATTCGGAGCTCATCAGCAGGATAATGTGACTGTATTCGCAGTGAATCATAACACTTTCCCCTCTCTCCCCCGCTGAGACTCGAACTTAGCATCCAACGTTTCAAGCACTACACATAGTTTTTCATTAGGCCACTGTATGGGGAGGGGCAGCAGTTATTAGCTGTTATTTGTTGTTTAACTTAGTTGTTGCATTTCCCGTGTTGATTGGTGACACTGGATCAGAGTGCTGAGTCTCTGTTGACATGTCGGCTTCTAGAGCAAAGTGATAGCAAACTCTGGTTCACCGTGTTAATCTTCAGATTCTGTTGGAGCGTCCATCGATAGTCATTGAGGATTTCAGTCTCATATAATCAATCAGTGGTCATGCCTCGGTGGTTCAGCAATACAATGCTTGCCAATCATTCCCACATGGTCCGGGCTTCGATTCCCAGACAGCCCACACATTTACCCCACCCTCGAACCCGGCTGTAAGCCCGACAAGGAGGGAAGGTTGAGAGGGCAAGGTTGACCAGCAACCCCAACCCGTTAAAAACACCACTGCTACTGAGACTTCAAAGCTCCAGAAGCCTGAAGTTCTATGTTCCCCCATCGGAACGTAAAGGAATACAATAAATCAAAAATATATAATCAATAAATAATGGGGAATACAAATAATAACATCAGACACATTGATAAAATTTGGTATTGTAAGTCTTTTACAAAAAGTTATAAAAAGAGAAATACTCCAAACTGCTGTTCACAGTTTGTCATATTCATCAACCACCGTCTATTAAGCATCAGAAAAGTTCGTTACCTCTAAAAATTTCAACATGCAACAAAAAAAACTAAAAACCTATGCCAGTTTCAACGCAAGTGGTATAAAACAGTCGAAGTCGCCAGGACCTGTGGCATTCGGTTGCACAAGTAGATCACCTTTTATGGAAAAAGATTTAAATATAGAATCCTTCGAAGTGAGGACAGGAGTAAAACAAGGCTGCCTACTATCGCCAATGATTTTCCTGATTGCAGTAGATTGGATAATGCGTCAAACAGCGGGCAATGAGGAAACAGGCATAAAATGGACTCACACAAAAGAAAAACTTGAAGGATCTGGACTTCACCGATGATATATGTCTGATTTCCCACAAACTGGAAGATATGCAAGTGAAAAGCAACAAATTGGCAGAAAAAGAATCCAGAGAAGATAGAACTTCAGGTGGACATAGAGAAAACAGAGGTAATGAAGATTCCTGGACAAGAACAACAACAACAGACAACGATCAGCATAAATGGGAGGAACCTGAAAGAAACAACCTCTTTTACCTACCTAACTAGGAAGCATCATCTCAACTACAGGCGGAACTGGCGAGGATATCAAAGCAAGGATCGGGAAAGCAAGAAAAGCTTACACTACTCTCAAGTCTGTGTGGAGGTCAACAGCACTCAGCATCAAAAATAAGATCCGGATTTTCAACTCCAATGTGAAGTCAGTGCTACTTACCATATGGATCAGAGACTTGCACTGCGCGTCATAAAGAGCATCTCAAACAAACTACAGACCTTCATTAACAGTTGTCTTCGCTCAATACTACTCAAGACCAGATGGCCAGAAAAGATCAGCAACAGGGATCTCTGGGAGCGAACCAACCAAGAACAGATTGTGAAACAAATAAGCAGGAAGAAATGGAGATGGATTGGTCATACTCTGAGGAAACCATCAGGTGACATCACTAGACAGGCCATCGTTCCAGTGGAACCCGAAAGGGAAGCGGCGATTTGGTCGTCGAAGGGTGACTTGGAGGTCATGTGAAGAGGAGATGAAAGTGTGTGGGCAGACATGGAGCCAGGTGAAGGCTCTAGCAGAGAACCGAACGCAACGGAGACGCACGGCTGAAGCCCTATGTTCCTCTAGGAATTAAAGGAAATAATAATAATTACTGGGTTGACTACAGCGTATACAATAATGTTAATAGAACTATAGCAGAAAAACGTAGTTCAGTGATATCTCAAAATATCAGCTAGTAATAGGTAGAGATTACACCTTATTCGATGATAATGGCCGTGTTCAGCATAGCTTAGCGAATGTAACGTCTCCAATTGCAGCACTGCACTGGGTAGTGAACCGGCAGCAAATACCTGAAGTAAGGTTGCGAATATACCTCACTGAGGAGTATGAGTAAGTACGAAAGGCACGTCTAAGAGAATTCCTTTTAGCTACCCTCCAACCAACCATCCAGCATCTTTAATTCGTTATCTTCTAGACTTACTAAGTATGCACATGTATCATCAAATCACGTATCACAGAGCCGAAAAACAGACGTTAATTGCACTATCCAGTTAGCCATTACACTACATATAGTGAAATAGTCACTGTGAATTGTTGATATTAGATGGTTGGAGGCGGCAATCGGAAGGAAGCCCTACCTGACCTAGGTTTCGTGCTTATTGGCACTCACCAGTCACAGCAAGGTGTACCTGTAATCTTGAAGTAAGTCATATCCCTTGTGAGATTCGAACCCGCGTCACCCGGTGTGCTGCAATCAAAGACGTTACCACTGAGGTATTCCGATTCGTGACCGACCAATACAGTTCTACAGGAGGTAAGTCGCGAGCCCGGATACCTCAATGATAAAGTCTCTGACTACAGCACACTGGGTGATGTTTGTTCAAATCTCACAAGGGATATGACTTACTTCAAGATTACAGGTACACCTTGCTGTGGCTGGTGAGTGCCAATAAGCACGAAAACTAAGTCAGGTTTAACGAAATCCCACTTCCCCTACTAACAGCTTTTAGTGCCCTACGCAGCAAAGCAAAGTCTTTCTTAAGTAATCCAGGAAAGATTAATGGGGAGCAGTAAAGAGGGAACGTTAGAATACAAGAGTTGACAAACTGAGAAAGCAAAGACTGCTTTATACCAGACTGCCTTAACTTCCTAACGTAGAACGTCAAGCGAAACATCTTTCTAGTAACTAGCAAGATGTGAGAGGACCAGGAAAGATCGGAGGAAATACTCAGTCCAAGGTATTTGACATTAGAGGTAGTTTCAATCTCTATGCCATCAATGATAGTGGGACCATGTGAGCTAGCTAGTTGTTGTAGGTCACGTTTTCGTCTGAAAGTGAAATTTACTACCTGATATTTAGACGGATTCAGCTTAGGACCGTTTGAAGAGGACCACTGACTAATTTCCGAGAGAAAGTATGCACGGACTGGGGTTCGATCCCAGGGCCTTCCGGTTACAAGGCAAGCTCGTATTCCATTCAGCCACTGGCCCATGAATTCTAACTTCTACCAATTCGTGTTTTTAGCGCGACCATCAACTAATTTCATCGGCGGGAAATCCATCCTCATTCTTGTTATTATTTCAGCAGCAACTTGCTACAATATGGGCAACACGAGATGTGCCACACAAAACAAAAACAATAAGACACAGTATAAGGAAGAGAAATGGAGTAGCTGGGGAACAGAATTATGCAAACTCGCAAGCATACTTATTCAGGGGACTTATCACCGCATGCTACTCTCAGATTACGATTCTCAGCCATATTTGATAACAACTCAAGTCAGTGATTTGGACTGTCATTCGGGGTAGCGGTGCAACAAGAGATGCTAAACTAATCACAACTATTCTCTATCCCATGACAACACGTCATGGATTGAACACCACCTGTCCGCTCCTAACCGACCGTTTAGTTAGAGTTAATTAATTAGAAATATGAAGGAGTCACATCGCTTGCAGGAAACTTTCGTCATTATTGAGTGTAGAAATGCTACAACTAATTCCCATTCCATAGTAGTTTAACTAACGAATGAACGGTAGTTAGGTAAGTGGGTAAAGTGAGACAAAAAAAAGTGTGAACTACATTTACACTAGAAATTAAAGATATTTCATAATATCCTGTTACATTAACAACGATTTATTTACAGTTTTCCGCAAACCGTGTAAATAAAAGATTGTAGAGCACCAATATTAAGAATAAATCAGAGCAAACAATAATGGTCTGCTTAAATAACTAGGCTACCCGATTTTCTTTCCATCAGAATTTCTCTCATTTACTCTATTTTATTTTATTTTAATTACCCAATTACATCTCTGAGTTGCAGTTTATACTCAAGCCCGTTTTCTACTTAGCAAGAGACCTAGGAACAGAGTCAAATGCAGATGTGTAATCAAGGGAGGCACACCGAACATATTTGGCTCCTCTATCTAAACTAGAGACTATATTATGATGTAGAACAACAGCGGCATCTAAGGTACTCCTACTATGTTTATAGGCAAACTGGTTGGGGTCATTAAAAGGCTTTAAAGAGGGTTCAAGATTAAGTAAAATAAGTCTTTCCATAACTTTTAAAAAAGGTGAGGTAATAGCAATCGGTCGAAACTTAACAGTAGGTCCACTTGTTGATTTAGGTACTGGAACAACCTAGACATTTTTCCATGAGTCCGGAATAATACTTTGGGAAAAGGATTCATTGAAAATGTCGGTTAATGGGTAACATAAGATGTCAGCACACTTCTTAAGGATAACAGCAGGAACTCCATCAGGACCAAGGGACTGGGTAGGTTTCAGAGATTGAAGACAATTAAGGACATCGTTCGTGTTAAAACACGAGAAGCAGTCATTATTTATACTATTAGATTTGGGAATCATAACATCTGCAGGGATACATATGAAGGATTTATTAAGCATATCAACATCAACATGTGTATACATACCAGATCATTTCTTTCTTCTTTAATTTTCTCAAGCGTTTCTTCCAGTTCTAAATTACGTTGTGTCAACTGACTGACCATTGTATCAATGCCGAGGTAAGCATCCACTTGTTCTTTTAATTCAATAATTTGTTCAACACTATCTTTTAAATTTTTTGTTAATCGTTCTTTTTCTGTTTGAAG